CGAACGTACGTATTATTGTATTATTCACGAACCGTATAATACTAACAAAGATTTCTACAACTCTGTTTGCTAAGCACCTCCATAGGGTAAACTATTTCTTATGTTTTTCGGCACAAAATATCAATCATACTGCTATTTTTTCACACTAGACACAAAGTTGGCAATGCTCAATGAAATGAAAGTAACATTTTTTATTTGGTTTCAAAATATAGGTGGGACATGAAAAAAAACAAAATAATTTATAAATTATGTGCTAAACTAGTTTTAATATACTTGTACAATTTAAAGTTTAAATCGTTTAATTGAAATTCAATCAAATGAATACTTTTTATGGCAAGTTCAAATGTTTTTACTTGGACTATTTTCAGTCGCAGATCAGATCAATCCAGACTTAAATAGACTAGACCAGACCAGACTTAACTTCCGTAGTTATAAAATACACAAAGACCAGACGTTTACCAGACAAGTTCAAACCAAGCAAGACCAGTTCAGACAAGGCCTGATCAGACCAGACTTAAACAGACCAAACCAGACCAGTCCAGACTTAGACAGACCAGACTTAGACAGACCAGACCAAACTAGCAAATTAAAGTTGAAGTAAAAACATCATTCGACTACTACCCTCAATTCAAAGAGTTTAACGATGAATATTACAATACATCAGACAGACACACATATAGACTTTGGTTCAAATAAGAATAACATCTTAGAAGAGAAGTGAGAATGATCCACGACCGTTAGATCAGTACTATTTTGATTTTTAAAAAATATTTTCGTGGAGAGCATTTTAGTTATTTTAAAGTTGTTTCCACCTTTACGTTCCTTTCCTAATCAATTTTCCATTTTAGAGTTACGTGCCGTTTCAATGCATTCCTAGTTTTCTTCTTTACCATTTCTCTCATTTTTCTTGAGAAACATAATCATTTTTTAATTTGGTTCTATATTTGTATCGTTTATTGTAGTATATTTTACGTACACCGTATAATTTTTTGCTGTTTAGAAACATTTTGCTTTTAATTTTATTTTGTTTCCATAAGAAGGTGGTGGGATTGAATAGGCCTAATGCATTGTTTCATGGAAGTCATTGATCAAGAATATAGATAATTATGCAAAACGTAATGGAAGCCCTCTTTAATCAGAAACAACAGATGCACTTTGTGTTTTACAAAGTCAAGCTGAAATTGATGAGAGAATGCTATACACAAGCGGTTTAATACTAAGTGTTGGAATTTAAACTTGAAGATGACCGCGATTGACAATACGAAAACCACAATAAATGAAGATCCAAGAAGAAGTTTGCACCAAACTGTATCAACTAGTCATGCTTATATGATCGATCCATTGCAAATTAGCACACATGAATTTGCACTAATTTTGTACTACATATGCACACTAACATTTAATTATATTATGATACGCTTCTTATAATAACCACATGCACTATAATATAATTATGATATTATCATGCAACCCTTCTGCTAAATAAGTGCACTTTTTATATATATACTCTGTATTTTTTATTTTGCGTGTAATGTGCATTTACTCAAACATGAAAGTGCATTCTTGAAAAAGATAATGTATGGTTATCAATGTGACATTCTTGAAGTGCATTTAAAAAGCGAACAAACGAATATAAATAGATGAGAAAAATTTTCAATTTCTCCATTTGAAAATGAAGAAGAAAGGGAGGCAACACCTGAAGATGAAAGAAACTGATGAAGTTCTTCTTCAAGCAGCCCGATAAGAAAATCAAGGAGTCTTCGAGAGTTATATGAAGTAACTGATGAAGTTGAAGGAAACAATGTTATTTTCTTTGCTTTCTTTGCAGGTGAGGATCCAATTTCCTTTGATGATGCGTATAAAGAAGAAGTCTGTAGGAGAGCTATGAAAGAAGAGATTGATTCAATTGAAAACAATAAGACATGGGAGCTCACAAATTTGCCGCCACATAAGAACTCTATTGGAGTAAAATGGGTGTACAAGACAAAGATGAACCCAGATGGCTCTATTAACAAGCATAAGGCAAGGTTAGTGGCAAAAGGGTACAAACAAAGGGAAGGAGAAGATTTTTCTGAAGTGTTCGCTCCTGTTTCACGACATGAGACGGTTCGTCTACTTATTTCCCTTACTGCCCAAAATAATTGGAAGTTGTTCCAAATGGACGTCAAATCTGCATTCCTGAATGGCGTTCTCAAGGAAGAAGTGTATATTGATCAATCATCGGGGTTTGTCAAGAAAGGGCAAGAAGATAAAGTGTACAAGTTGAAGAAAGCTTTGTACGGTTTTTAGCAGTAACCCCGAGCGTGGTATAGCCGCATCAATTCTTACTTCATGAAATATGGATTTCATAAATGTCCATATTAGCATACTCTCTACGTCAAAAGCGACTCTCAAGGAAGCTTCATGGTCGTTAGTCTCTATGTTGATGATCTCATTTTTACTGTAAATAATGAGAAGATGTTGAAAGAATTCAAGCACTCGATGATGGCTGAATTTGAGATGACAGATCTTGGTGAGTTTCATCATTTCCTTGGCATCGAAGTTCTTCAAAGTAAGTAGGGAACATTCATTTCCCAAGAAAGCTATGCGAAAGATGTTTTATAGAAATTCAGGATGAAGAATGCTAATCCCACTTTGTTCAGAAGTTTGGTTGGAAATTTGATGTATCTTACTACCACGAGACTCGACATTGTATACGTTGTTAGCCTTGTGAGTATATTCATGGAAAACCCTTATTCTGATCATTGGGAGGCTGCCAAGAGAATTTTGAGATACATTAAAGGAACTATTGATCCTGGAATTTTTTACGAGGCAAATGTTCCAGTTAATCTTGTTGGTTATACTGACAGCTACCTAGAGGGGAGTATTAATGATAGCAAAAGCACTTCTGGATATGTATCCATCTTGGCACCGGCGCGATATCATGGAGCTCGAAGAAAAAATCAATTGTGGCACTTTCTACTACTTAGGCAGAATATATCGCCACATCTTATGATGGATGTCAACTAGTTTGGTTACGAGGAATTTTAGAAAGTTTGAAGCAGAAGCAAAACCAGTCAAGCACTTTGTTATGTGACAACCGTTCAACAATTTCAGTTACGAAGGACCCAGTTCTTCATGGGAGGACAAAACATATTCACATCCGATATCATTTTTTGAGGGAACTTGTGAGTGAAGGAGAAATTCAAATGAAGTATTGCAAGACTGAAGATCAAAGAGTCGACATTTTCACGAAGCCGCTTAGTGCACAAGTTTTCAAGAAAGGCGTCAAAAATCTGGGAGTAAGAAGCAAGTTTAATTTAAGGGAGGCATTGTTGGAAAATTAAATTAAACTTGGAAGTTGAAAGAATAAGTTTTTTGATATTCCTTGTGAGTTTCTAGGTTCACTCAATGCCTAGAAATATGAAGAGTCTTTTATTAAATCTGGATTAATAATTGTCTAGGAATGTGAAAGGTCTAGAATATGGAAGGTTAGATCTCTTAAGAACTCCTCCAATAAATATCTCATCCCTCCATTGTATTTGTTGAGCGAGGTGAATTTTATCAATTCAGGACCTGGAAGATAAATGAAGGGAAAACTATCAAATAAGTCCATGTACTATACCGAAAAAGTCGATTAGGCCCTCGTACTTTACAAACACTCAATTAAGTCCTCGAACTATTAAAAAACGTTCAATTAAGCCCTTTTGGTGGGTAAGTAACCGATTTCCCGGTTAAACAACGACGATGGTGACGATGTGCTCGAACTCCAGCAACAACGGCTTCCGGGAAACAAGTTACATTTAACCGGGAAACCGGTTACTTACCGACCGAAAGGGCTTAATTGAATGTTTTTTAATAGTTCGAGGACTTAATTGAGTGTTTGTAAAGTACGAGGGCCTAATCGACTTTTTCGGTATAGTACGAGGGCTTATTTGATAGTTTGAATTATCAATCTAGGACCTAACATTTCATAGGTTTTGATTTATTTAATTTTTTATTAATTCTATTGCTAATTTTTTATAAACATTTCTTCACAAAAGTTTATTAGTTTAATAAAAATAAATAATATTTAAAATTTTTAAAATAAAAAATAAAATAAAATTCATGACAACTTATGTCCTAAATTGATAGTTTTCAATCATTCAGGTCCTAAATTGATAGTTTTCTATCAATCAGATCCTATATCGATACAATTCATCTTTCAGGTCCCGGATTGATAATTTATTTATCTTTCAGTTACTAGATCGATAAAATTCCAATATTATTCTCCATTCTAGTCTCAATACCTCCCCCTTCCTCTATTACTCTCTTCATTTTGAGCTTCTCCGCTTCCTCTCCTTCGGCGAAGAGCGGGAGTCCAAGTGTGCAGGAGTCATCGGGCTTCAGGTCGAGGCCAAGGGCTCTTCTTCTTTGGTCAAGCAGGGTCGTTTGAGTAGAAACGGTTGGAAGACAATGTCAATCAATACGATAATATTTTTGTTCCATCGATGCCTTTTTTAATATAAATCATTTATACTCTTTTATATTTGTGTGGATACGATATTTATAATAGTTCTACACTCTTGATTCAACTATTTGAGTATACTATTGGGAAGCAAAGTTGCCGAATAAGAGTGAGTACAACAAGAATGATTCTTACACTAATATTTCATTTATTTTTGCACCGAGTTTTGTAAATTTTGTAGTTTTGTGATATTTGTCCCCCTAAAGGAACTTGCTTTTTCCTCTTTTGTAGACTAATTTCTATAAATGAGTCTTGCTTGAATAATCTTTTGGTTCATTCTTTTTTTTTTTAACAAAAGAACCTGTTGTCTGTTTTGTAATTTACTTCGGGGTTTTGATGGAATATCAACCAACTTTTTATATGGGCAACTAAACAATCATTTCATGGAAACAGTTGAAACTTCGTCCTTCAAACCAAATTACTAAATTTTCCAAAGAAATAGAAGAAAAATTGGCAAGGTTAATTGGGTCCACCGCAGAGGTGGAATTTCATGAAGAAGTGAGCTACGACGGTTGTCATAGGAAGATTAACGAACCAAAGAAAAGAGGCACGTAAATTAATAGATTCAAACAAACGGCAGATCCGGCGAATTAGCGAAGAGGGATTTAAAATCCAAGCATTGGCAACCTGCCATACAAAAAAGTTAGAAAGTTCCACTGTCTGCCTACTAAAACCAAGCTTCAAGTTTCATCGCCCCTCCCCCTGTCCATTTATATCAACGACCTGAGGCCTTAGACCTGCATCTTCCTCGCTTAGGTTGCATCTTTGTAACAACAGACTCACATATGGTCTCCAGGGCTTTTCTCTTCTCCACAAACTTGCAAGCATTACCAAGAAGGTCATTCCACTCTAACCACTGATCAGTCTTCTCAACTGCATCCTTGAGAATTAGCGTATCCTTCACCCCAACCAACTTTTTACAGACTCTCAAAATGCCACTAGCGTGGTGAATATAGTTCTCCAAAGCATTTTTAGCATCAGTTGCCTTCTTGCGCTCTTCATCTTGAACCTTGTAATCTTCTGCTTCCTTAATCATCCGTTCAATGTTCTCCTTTGACAAACTCCTGCTGTGATTGGTTATAGTGATTTGGTTCCTATTGTTACCACCCACTTGTTCTGCAGAAACAGTCAAGATGCCATTGGCATCAATGTCAAAAATGACATCAGCTTTAGCTTCACCTCTAGGTAGTGCAGGAAAGCCTTTGAGAGTAAATTTTCCAAGAAAGTAATTGTCTTTTGCTATGGGCATCTCTCCCTCATACACTGGGAATAAAATGCTGGTTTGATCGTCATAGACAGTGTAGATTTTGCTTGACATCTTCGTAGGAATGGTGGTATTCCGTGGAATTACCACACACATTTTACCACTTTCCAACTTCACTCCAAGAGATAAAGGAGTAACATCGACAAGTACAATATCCTTATTCACACCCACACAGGCACCAGTAAGAGATGCAGCGTGAAAAGCAGCTCCATAGGCAACAGCCTCATCTGGGTTTATGCTTTTGCAGGGCTTCTTTCCTTCAAAGAAGTCTTTTAACAACTCCTCAACCTTTGGAATTCGGGTAGACCCACCCCACAAGAACAATATCATGAATGTCATTCTTCTCCATTTTTGCATCCTTTAAACAATTCTCAACGGGCCCAATACAATCATTGAACAGATCTAAATTGATTTTATCAAACCGTGCCCGTGTGATGCTCGAAGAGAAATCAATGCCCTCAAAGAGACACTCAATTGAGATGGATGTTTCAGTAACAGAAGAGAGGTTTCTCTTGGCCCTTTCACAAGCGGCTGTCAACCGCGAAAGAGCCTGAGGATTTCCCTTTATATCTTTTTTGTGTTTCCTCTCGAACTCTACAACAAAGTGGCTCACCATTCTGTTACTAAAATCCCCTCCACCAAGATGAGTGTCCCCATTAACTGCTTTGACTTCAACTACATCCTTCTCAATTGTAACGATAGAGACATCAAAAGTTCCACCACCAAGATCAAAAACCAATATGTTCTTTGGAGAAGAATCAACACTTACAGTTGCTTTCTTGTCAAGACCATAGGCAATTGCAGCAGCTGTGGGTTCATTGATGACACGCAATACAATAAGACCAGCAATCAGACCTGCATCTTTTGTTGCTTGGCGTTGGGCATCACTGAAATAGGCAGGAACAGTGATAACCGCTTTTTTGACTTGTTTGCCGAGATATGCCTCTGCAGTGCTCTTCATCTTTTGGAGGATCATTGAAGAAATCTCCTCAGCTGCGAAGTGTTTGTCTTCACCCTTGTAAGTCACTGATATCATGGGTTTATCTTCACAGTCACCTTCAGGGCCAGCTATGACTTTGAATGGCCAGAGCTTCATGTCATTCTGCACCGTTACATCAGAAAACTTTCTACCTATGAGCCTCTTCACATCTGCCATTTGATTACATCAAAAGAGAAGTCAATAAATGTATTGACAGTCATCAAGAACTTATCCTTAGTATTCAAATCTGTTTCATTCACAAATTTGGCGACTTCTTCAGCACATTTGGAATTTTAATTAAGGTTGTAAAAAAAGAACTCAGGGAAGGGGTATCACTTTGTAAATAAAGGAATAGTGGTGATGATGTTTAGTGGGTCACGAAGTTTGCGTTTGGAAATAGTAGCCAATAAACATTCAAGCTAATCCTAAAATTATTTAGGATTTAAGGAGTTATAAACCCAAATATGATTTATTCAATAATTACAAAAATGTAAATAGAAATTGCCCAATATAGGAGTAAACATAAACATAATTGCACAAATAGGAGTAAAACTTAAAATTTCCTTCAATAGGAGTAAACATTAATTTTGTATCTTTAATATCCCTAACCTAGTTAATTCTAAAATATGACTTATTTAATCTTAACCTAGTTAATTTATGACTTATTCGATAATAATTTATTTATTTATTTTTTTTTTTAAAAAAAATAAAAAAAAAATAAAAAACTCAAAAAAATAAAATAAAATTCACCGCCTCCTCTGCCGCCTCTGCACCACCACCTCCGGTCAACAGGGGAAAAAATGCCAAGTTCATTACGAATGTCATATTTATGGCAGAAAATAATGAAAATGTTGGCATTCGGAAAGAGAAATATGCCATGTTTTGGACATTTTAAGAAAAAAATGGCAGTTTTTAGGAAAAATGATTTTTTTTTTCACCGCCCGGAGGTGGTGGTGCAAGAAGGTTGTACGGGCAGTGCAAAATATTTTTATTAAATTTTTAGTATTTTTTACGAATTTTTATTATTTTTTATTATTTTGTTATGAATTACTCCGTAAAACATTTCAATAGCTATAAGGGTATATTTATCCAAGACACACGTAATTAATCTTATGACAACATAGTTTATTTTTTTGTTTTATTTATGTAAAGTGACTGACTTTTAATCGTATTTTGATAATTAACCCAAAAAGAAAAGTAGAAAGAGAGCAAACCAAATATGGTATTAAAAGGATTCATCGCGGCCTGATTCTGGGCAGATTCGCCGATGAGGCGTTCAATATCGGTGAAGGCAACCCATGACGGCGTCGTACGGTTGCCCAAATCGTTGGTGATGATCTCAACACGGTCATGCTGTGGTTGCCAAACCCCGACACAAGAGTATGTTGTTCCCAGATCGATCCCTATAGCCGGACCTTCTTCTTCCTCTGCAGTTTCTCTTCTTCCACTTTCTTCCATTTTTCTAGAATCCTCTTCTCTCTGGGATTACTTGTAATATTGAGCCGAGGGTGGATAGCTTCGCGTGTTTTTCTTTGTGCTAGCCGTTTAAATAATAAAAATGTTCCCCGCCGATATGTGAAGCAGAGAGTATAAGTCTTGTTTTGTAATGTATGGGGACTGAGGAAGACTGTAATTCGGCGGCAGGTTTGAATTGTGCACGCCGGCCTAGATGGCCATTCAGTTAGTTTCCGAATCCAAATTTATGGGAATCGGAACCGCATTAAACTAACGGTTCAGTGTCAATACGGGTTGTTTTTTCGGTTTTAATTAAAGATTTTTAGTTTTTAGATTTAAAAATTTAATTATTTTTTAAGAATAGATCTGAGTAATAACAAAGATTATTCAAATAAAAATGTTCCTAACACCTAATTAGTATAACAACGATTGTTATAAGAGCATCTTTAATGAGAGATCGTCAACATTAAAAAAATTGTGACACATGGCAATATATTATTGAAATGTTTAGCCATGTAGGAAGAATGTTAAGAGTTTTTTTTGAATTAATGTTAATTAATTAATTAATTACGAAAATAATGCTGGGTTAAAAGTAATTACCGATATACTACTGAGATTAATCATGGTCGGGGTAAGTCGTCAAACGGTTGGACAACTTATAAGTCGCCATCCGGTTTGGCGACTTATAAGTCACCCAACCATTTGGCGACTTACCCCTTACTATAAACAAGGTCTCATTTCTCCTATTTAGGGGTTACGAACCACATACAACACATTACAATCCAATATTCATAACACAGTAGTCATCTAATATTCATAATCAAACACATCAACATATCATAAAAGAGTTTACAGGTGGAAATACGTAAAATAAAGTCAATTCTTCAGACAACATCTAGTGTACAAGAAAAACTCCAATACAAAATACAAACTACAAGTTCTCATGGTCTTCTTGATCATCTTGGTCACGGAGATGGCATATCCTGCAATGTCAGGACAGAACAATCACTCGGCCCAGGATCTGCTGACACCTCCATGCCTACAAAAAAGAAATAGGATATTAGTTAAGTTTTACTATTGTATTATTTTATTTTATTTTTAATTAATATTTTACTGATTATTTTTTAAACTTTACCCAGTGGACCCTCTTCCACCTCTTGATGGTCTCTTTGCACATGTGGCCCTATATGGCCGGTTTGTTTACATATTCCACATCTAACCGTTCCTCGGAGACCTTCATCCATCTCATTCTTAATACGTGTGGACTTAGGTCTTCCCTTAGCCCGACCATGGATGGATCATGCACAATTTTAGGTTCATAGTAAGTCGGCCAATAATCACGGTCAGGAATGAGTTTAAAGACTCTTTTATATGTGGCGGCGTATGGTTGAGATGAGAAAAACGGATCCACAAATGGATGAGAAGATAAACTGCGTTGTCTGCACACGGCTAATACATGAGAGCATAGAATCTTATATTTTTCCATCTTTTTACAGGTGCAAGTACGCCGCCGCAGATGGACTGTTTGTTTTCTCCCACCCTTTCCCAACGCTCGACCACCACATCATGTTTCCACCTGATATATCCATCGGCCTATATCATATGGAGTAACACTATGATGCTTCGCCTTCTCTCTATTCTTCTCAATCAAATCCGTTATGTGTGGAGAGTAGTCTTGGCGGTGATGGTGTCTATCCTTTGTTCGGCGCCTGCGGCCGGCTTTGTCAGCTTGACGTAGCATGCTCTGGCTATCCTCTGGTTTCCCCTAGCGTAGCCGATGCCGCCATTGGTAGGGAACTTCAGGCACAGGTGCTTCATGGAGATGATGGCCTCGAGGTCCTCTAGTGTCGGCCGCCCCCAGATCAGGTTGTGGGCGCACTCGAGGTTGACCACCATGAATTCCATGTCAATCTTGGCGCGATGGGAGCCGTCGCCGACCTCCACGGGGAGGACTATCGTGCTTTCGGCGTCGATAGAGTCCCCGGTGAAACCGGACAACGGTGTCCGTATCGGCTTGAGCAGGGCCTTGTTCAGCTTCAGCTGCTTGAAGGTGTCAAGGTATATGACATTGACGAAGCTCCCCGTAACGATGTAAAGTCGGTGGATGATAGAGTCACCTATCTCACATCGGATGACGGAGGCGTCCCTGTGTGATGGGGGACCCGGAGACAGATCCTTGTCGGTGAAGGTGATCGCCTCCGTCCGCTGCTTCTTCGGCTGGGGGGAGCGTGGGACACCTCCACATTGTAAAGGGATTGGGCCCATTTTTTCCTCTGGGTGGCCGAGTCTCCCCCAGTGTTTCCCCCCACGATGAGGTGGATGTGGTTCTTCTTCGAAGGGGGCTCCTCGAAGTCTTCATCGTCATCGCTGAGTCTGCTGATCTCACGCTTCTTCGTAGAGGGTTCGCCCCCAATTTTGTCGGTGTTTACCCATGTATTTTTGCGTGGGCCACCTTTAACAAATTGGGAGAGTTCCCCCTGGCGAATTAGCTTCTCGATGGCTCTCTTCAGCATGACACAGTCGTCTGTGTTGTGGGAGGTATTCCTGTGGTAACGACAGTAGGTACCACCCTGATGATCAGCGTAGATTTCCTTCGCCGACCGGGGATCCCGTTCAATGAGATTCCTCGGCATAATCGAGGATGGAGTTGACCGAATGAGTGAGGGGGGTCTTCGGCCTTTCCATCCTCGGCCGCCATGGGCGGTCCTTCTTATTCTGTCCGCCAGACCCATGGCGGCTCTGTCCCCCTTGACCTCGGTCCCCGACTAAGGGTGCGCCTGGAGTTGGCGTAGTGTTTGTCTTCTTGGAGGGGTGCCCTCCGTCCTTCTTATGGCTGTGGAGTTCGTCGGCGTCAGCGTATAAGTTCCCTCGCTGGAGCGCCTTCGTATAAGACCTTGGAGGGTCAGTGATGAGACTCCTCGCATATGGGGGGATGCGGAGGGCGCCCTGGAAAAGGACAAGGAGGGTGCGCTCATCGCCCCCCTCGACCTTATCGGTCTCCCTCGTCCATCGGTCGATGAACGACCGGAGTGATTCGTCATGTTGCTGCTTGACGGAGAGAAGATGGGTGCAATATTTCTTCGCGCGCTTCCTCCCGGCAAAGTGGGTGAGGAAGCGTTGGGCAAGATCCTGCCACGAGTCTATGCTTCCTTCGGGGAGCGTGTTGAACCACTCGTATGCTGGCCCTTCAAGAGTGGTAAGGAACCAACGCCAGAGGTATTCATCCGACGCGTTCACCATCAGCATGTTGTTATGATAGCGGCTAAAGTGCTCCTGAGGGTCGGAGCTGCCGTCATAGGGCTTGATGGCGTTTCCTCTATACTTCTCTAGAATGGGAGCCGAGAGTACCCTCGCAGTGAAGGGAGTACGGGTCCTAACTTGGATGATGGGGGTCACCCCGTCCCTCGGCCAGCTCCTTTTCTAGGATGCTGACGTTGTGGAGAAGAGCATTGAAACCGGGGTCCCTGGATGAATTACCCGTGGGGGTGGCAGCCAGCTGCCTGGCCTCCATCTGAGCGAGCCTTCGCTCGAGCTGGGCGATCACCTCGTCCATGGGGTCCTTGGCAGCCATGGTGACGCCTTGCGTCTGCAAGCGGGCTGCGTGAGCCGTGTTGATTCGGTGGTGCACATCGTCGTCATGCAATTTTCCCTTGCCTTTGTCCAGGCGAGGCCGATCCGCTGTCCGGGATACGGACCCCATGCTTTCCCTTGGTGAGCCAGGCTCACGCTCACCAATCCGTCCTGCCATCCTCTCCGAAGCAGACCGACGGCACGTGTCACCTAGCCTATGGAAGTGTAACACTTGAGATTTAATTTAAACGGATTAATAGTACTACTCATACCAACAAGATGCATCTCCTTTTAAGGGAGCTCATTAGCCAAGAACTCCAAAGTTAAGTGTGCTTGCACGGGAGTAGTCTTGGGATGGGTGACCCCCTGGGAAGTTTCTCAGGGCGCGCATGAGTGAGGACAAAGTGCGCGGAAAAGGCTAGCGGCGGTTTGTGAGGACAGTACTAGAGGTTAGAAGTAACTACCTCGGGGCCTACGGGACCGGGGTGTTACAGGTGGTATCAGAGCAACCCTGCGACAGTGTGTTGATCCGTTGGATATTGGGCGGACACTTAGCAGGGGAAAAGATTCTGGGATATGATTGAGATTGGTTTATGGGCGCAACGAGGACGTTGCATTCCTAAGTGGGAGTGATTGTAACACTTGAGATTTAATTTAAACGGATTAATAGTACTACTCATACCAACAAGATGCATCTCCTTTTATGGGAGCTCATTAGCCAAGAACTCCAAAGTTAAGTGTGCTTGCACGGGAGTAGTCTTGGGATGGGTGACCCCCTGGGAAGTTTCTCAGGGCGCGCATGAGTGAGGACAAAGTGCGCGGAAAAGGCTAGCGGCGGTTTGTGAGGACAGTACTAGAGGTTAGAAGTAACTACCTCGGGGCCTACGGGACCGGGGTGTTACAGGAAGGCTGAGGCTTTTCCACGCGTTGGGGTCGATCCGGCTCGAAGCAGGGAAGCAGGGTGGGAGTGGGATGACGTCGTGTTCTGGGGCACCACCCCTTCATCGTTTCCTATCTTGATGGCCAACGGCTGGGGCTGAGGAGGCGGTGTAGTGTTCTCCCCACTCCTTGGCACGAGTGCACTAAGGATGGTGGGGTTCTGGGCCAGGCTGGCGATAATAGCCGATAGTGCGGCTTGGAGTTGAGGGTCAACGGCAAGAGATGTCGGTTGCCCCGAGGCATTGTCTCCCTTATCCAGGCGCTTCTTCTCCAGACCGATGCGGGCGTCAGGGGCACCGCCTTTGAGTTGATGGCGAAGGTCATTCGTGAGGTCGATGGCCTCCTGGAAAACATCCCCTCCCGCGGCCTTGTCGGCCGTAGCGTCCTCCTCATGTTCCCTGTCGTCTTGGGCCTCAGGGATTGTTTTGCCGAGGAGGTTGCGGTTGGACTTAGTTCTTCCCATAGTCAGTTAGTTGTGCTTGGTAGCGATGAAGGATGCTAACTTGATTGTTCTAGCTCTCAATGAAAGCACCAAATGATAGAGTATATATTCTAGAGAGAAGGGAGAGCTAGAGAGAGAAGTGCAATAAATCCTTGCAATAAATGATTTGTGACCCCCCTACAACTACTCCCAAGGGGAGTATTTATAGAGGAAATTAGGGCTGGGCTCCCAAGTCTTGGGCTTGGGAGGCCCATTTACAATTGGGCCACTATTGGACTGAGTACAA